TAAGTCCATCCCAAAATACACTAGTCATTATAGTAGGCAAAAAAATCCAAACAAAGTGTACATAGATCATGATTTATCGATTTCTGCTCTTTATCACGATTATTACCTGGAATGGTGTAGAAATAGAAATGCCAATCCAGTAAAAGAAAGCTACTACAGAAATGTTTTTTGCAAGGAGTTTAACATTGAATTTAAATTACCCAAAACGGACACCTGCAAAACATGTGACTCTCTAAATATTCAAATTAGAAATGTTGGCAGTACAGAAGCATCAGCAGACAGGTTAAAGACTCAACTTGAGCTACACCATCGAAGGGCCGAAGCTTTGCAAAAAAGCCTGAAAGATGAAATAGAAAATGCTAAGAGAACAAAAGACACATCTGTCATCAGTTTTGATTTACAGCAAGCGCTACCTGTACCTTCATTGACAGTTGGTCCTGCTTTTTATTTACGAAAAATTTGGACCTATAACTTAGGAATACATGACTGCGTTGAAGATATGGGATATATGTATATGTGGCCCGAACACTTAGCAAAACGTGGAAGTGACGAGATTGCTAGTATATTATATAAGCATTTTAAAGAAAATCCTACTGAACATAGGAAGCTTGTTGTATATAGCGATAATTGCGCTGGACAAAACAAAAATTGGACCATTGTATGTCTGTGGCAACAACTAGTTAAAGAAAGTGTCTTTGATACAATAGAACATAGATTTCTAGTAGTGGGACACACACATCTTCCTTCTGATCGTGACTTCGCAATTATTGAAAAATATAAACGCCGTTATTTAAATCAGGTTTATACCCCTGATGATTGGTTATCAAGCAGTCTTAAAATCAAAAAGGAAAAAATCCTTTTAACCCAGATACTCCTAAAACTTTTGACTTCAAAATTTTTAATAAATTCTCTTGTGAATGGCTTTCTACTTCATTTATATACAAGTTTTACAAATAAAATTTTTTATTTAGGTTGGCCGTTTTTGAGTTATCAGGTGTATGTTATAACCAACAGTAGGAATCTAAGCTACTTATGGATCAATGATTTCATTATACAATAAATGAAACTAAGTATAAAAATTAAAGTTATTCTTTATTATGATAACTAAAAAAACATGATTTAGGGTGAAGTGCAATATCGCACTTGTTACATCTGAACGCTGCCTGCTTATGACATACACTACACCTTGTTTGTTTTTCTTGATAAATGACGATGTGGTCTAATCTATCGTACCTTGACTCAAAATGTGTAAGTTGCCCTTTTTTTGACGGTCCCCGTTTAGTTGTTTTCTTATACATTTCCAGTAATCCTGACGCTACGCATCTTCTGAATGCTAGATGATCCATTTTCCCACCATTACTTTTATGCAATTGCCAGGCATTGTGCTCCGCCATATCAAGGCAATGCGAAAATAAACTAAAGTACCATTTCTTGCTTCTGATACCTATTCTGTATAAGCTTATATTTTGGTCTGCACGGTCTACTCCTCCCATATTTTCATTATATTTTTTTATCATGAATGGCTGTGGGATGAGTATACTTTTCTTTTCTTTCTGTGAATATCTTTTCACCTGTAAGGTTGGCAGTGGTGAAGTAGCATTTGATGCAATAGTAACGACATTATTGTCGTTCCATTTACATACTATAATATTTTCGTCTTCTATGAGTGAGTAGTCAAATACACCCCTCTGATCTTTTTTGAAAAGCTTGGAATTTTTCAGAGGACAACCCGGAACTCGATTTTCTCGAATTGTTCCAGTACATTTTAAATTTCTTGCTGCTAGCTCACGTAGTAATGGAAGTGAGGTAAAAAAATTATCACAGAATAAGTGAAACGGCGTACCTGGGTTATCAGACTGCAATTTATCGGCAAATGACAATACGACACTGGCTCCCAATCCTAATTCCTTGTATGTATCAGAAAGTGGAGTGGTGGCACCTTGATAAGGTTCAAACCACTCGACATATCCCTGTTTTGTGGCTCCGACCCATAGTTTGTAGCCCCATCTAATGGGTTTACCTCGGATAAACTGTTTTGATCCATGCTGCCCATAGTAAGGGACCATCGCTTCATCAACACTGTGATGTTCTTCAAATGGACGAAACATATGAAAATTTTTATTGATTATGTCAAATAGTGGACGCATTTTAGCAAATTTATCGCCTTTTTGTAATTCGGTATTATCAGAAACATGTATATTTTGCATAATAAAATTGAATCTATCTCGCGATATAGCCGAATACACCAACTTACACCCTGCGTCATCGTTGTTTTCCCAGTACATAGATCTTCGAGGAAATGAGAAATATCCACTTAGAAGTAATATCCCAATGAAACACCTAATTTCATTTTGATTGATATCTCCAGAGCGATTGTGTTGAGATGCATATAGATTACTAAAATGTGTAATTAGGTCCACAACTTCATCATCAATGAAAAGGGAAAATAACTGTAAAGGCGTGAGAAAATTTTTTGGTTCACTTACTGGCTTCCAGTCGGGAAAATTTGGATCAATATCTTGTTTTTTCCAGGAATACTCTCTTTTTTTCTTCGGCTTGGGTTGTGGAGCACTTACACCAAGATAACGGGAGCGAGACACACGGATAGACAATGGGAGGTTATCTTCACTATCAGAATCTTCAATTGCAATATCTTCTGGATCCGAAATAATTTCATTCTGCCCTTCATCCTCCTCCAACGGTGCACTATCAAAAACAACTTCAGCTTGTACTCCTAATTGACTACCGGGAAGGTTATTTATATCAATGTGGTTTTCATCCCCGGAATCTTCGTCGGTATCATATTTATCGGATGGAGGGAAGACAATAATACCATCAGGTAATGAAGATGGATCATCTAGGTGTTCAATCTCATCTAATAACTCATTGAGAGTCAATGGTTTCGTCCAATAACTAAAAAGTTACAAAATGTTATGACGAGTAGCATGTTATCCTACCGTATGTTATAACATACAGTTGTTTTTGAGCATTATTTTTCCCAGAAAAAAGAATAAATATTGATAACAGTAATAACTATAGTAAAATATAATCAAAAACGAAAGTAAATGTTAAAACTTTGTGAGAAAATAATGCCATAGTATCCTCAAAATACTTACTTCCTTTTATCCATTTTGTATTTACCACGTGCGCTAATATTTATTACAAATTTTCGACACCTTACTTAGCTAACCGTCGACTGCAGATAAATGAAAACAACTACTGATGCATATTTAAAAAGCAGGCTACGTTGTGACATCTAGTGAATAATAGTAAAAGTCGAATAATACAGGAATTTGTATAGTGTATGTTTTAACGGACAGTAGGAGTATCTGGGTTAATGTCATTGTTCTACAGCAAAAAGATATTTTGTCTTTTAAGGATTTACAGATCCAAAATATTACCAAAAAAACGCAAACAGAAAATAAAGAAAAGCTTAATTTCAGTAAAATCTGCACATTTAAATTTACTCACGAGACTCCAAATGTTATGTTTTATAAACATCTTTGGAACGAATTATTTAAATCTGTCAATATTGGCAGGAGAGGTGTTAGAACTGCAGTAAACCTGAATGTAAGAGATTTAAAAATTAAATATGACGCACCCATTCCATTAAACCCAAAAAAAATATCTAATATTTCGATGCTTCTTCGCTACATACCACCTATTTACCAGAATTACTACAGAGAGATTGGTGTTGTTGAAAATATGGGAACAGATAATGATAATATAGATAATGAGACAGAACATTTGGATGACTTTAGCGATCTGGAGGATGAAAATTAAATTGATTTTATGTATTGTGTTTTTCATGTTTAGTACTGTATATAACTTCTAATATTATGATAAGATACCTATTTTACAACTTGTTGTATTAATAATTTTTTTTGTAATAAAGGTGCAAGCCACATTTTTTTGAATTTTTATTGTTTTTTTTTTCTACAAAAACTACTTTTTTAAAATTAGCTTAGCGTTTCAAGGATAGTTGATATACAGGTTTCAAATAACACCATTTACGAAATTTCTAATCCATATTTGGTATTTCAGGATTTGATTAAAACCTTTATAATTGATTTTCTCAAAAACTTACTTTTGTGGCATGTACCGTTGTTGCTCTAAGGTCTTCAGTTATTTAGAAAGAACTGGAAGAATTATTTCTAAATTTAAAAACCTGGTAACAATTGGGTAACCCATTTTTTAGAGAGGCATAGTCAGCAAATCTCTAAACGACTTAGCGTCTAACATTACTAGAGCTCGGGCAGGTGTCACAAAAGAAACGATAGAATCATATTTCAATAATTTAAAAACAACTCTCTCAAATTGCACGTTTTCAATTACGATGAAACCAACGTTAGTGATGATCCGGGAAAAGAAGATTGCTGTATAGAAGAGGGACCAAATACCCAAATCACTAATCATAGTAAAGCCGCCACATCAAGAATGATGTGCGGTGCTGCTGATGCCACACTTCTTCTTCTTCGCGTGCCATATCAGAATCATCCGACGTTGGCGATCACCATTGCTGATGCTTCTCAATCTTCTGCAATATGGAATAATTGTCCTGCATTTGGTATCTCAGTCCATTCACGAATGTTTTTTAACCAAGAAACTTGTTTTTTTCTTATATCTCTACGGCGCTCTATTTTGCCTTTAAGGATCAGTTGTAAAATTTTAATATTTAACAAATTTTTCAGCAGTTTTCGTTCTTTGTTGACACTCCTCAGTACTTCTTCATTAGTTTTTCTTGCTGTCCAAGGTATCTTCAGCATTCGTCTATAAACCCACATTTCCAATGCTTCAATTTTGTTCATGATCGATACTTTTAGCGTCGACACTTCTGCACTATACAAAAGTACGGACCAAACATAGCACTTAACCATTCTTTGCCTTAGTTCTAAACTGAGATGTTTATTGCAAAGAAATGACTTCTATTTCATAAAAATAGTTTTAGTCATTGCTATTCTACGTTTTATTTTTATGTCTGGATCTAGTTGGTCCGTTATCACAGTTCCCAAATATGTCATTTTGTCAACTTTCTCAACTTGGACTCCGTTCAATTGAAGCTTTGCATCGGGATGTAAGTCACGACTAAATACTAAAAATTTGGTTTTGTTTGAGTTTATTTTAATGCCCATTTTCTCTCCTACCTCGTGAATACGATCAAGCAGAATTTGAAGACCTTCAATATTATCTGATAGAATTACTGTATCGTCCGCATATCTATAATTTCATTAAGCGATGCAGGGCATATAAACAACGATAAATTTAACAGATAATTGTTAAAGATGTTACAAATGAGTCTACCCGTTCCGATAAGTAACAGTATAATTATGACACTTTATTATTTTTTTCTTTTCTCAAATATTCGTGTTTATTGCATAGTAAATAAATTAATGTTATCACTGAATACATAGTAAGTGAAAAAATAATCCGATTTATAAAATTAATGAATATTTTATGCATAAATGCAAGTAACAGTTCTTCAAAAATATTTAAAAACTAACCGAAATGTCCATCTTTATTTCGTCTGCCGAAGTTTTCAGCAGCTCATACCGGTTCGGACACGATTTAATGTTTACATCTTCCTGCATCGCTTAATGAATTTTACATAATTACATTAAGTAGTTCCCCGTTGATATTTATTCCATATGGTTGTCTCTCAAGTGCCTTTTTAAATAACTGGTCCGAGTAAACATTGAACAATGTTGGCGACAAAATGCAACCTTGTCTGACTCCTCGATGTATGGGGATTTCATCGGTGTAGTTATCTCCAATTTTTACGATAGCGGTTTGATTCCAGTACAAATTTTTAATGACACGAATATCCTTGTCATCTGTTCCGATATTTTTCAGTATTTGCAATAATTTTACATGCTGTACTTTATCGAATGCCTTTTCAAAGTCTACGAAACATGCAAATACGTCTTTTCTTTGGTCACAGAATTTTTGTAATAGAATGTTAAGGGCGAAAATTGCCTCCCTGGTTCCCATAGCATTTCTAAAACCAAATTGGCCATCTTCAAGATCTTCTTCGATTTGCGTTTAATTCTGTTGTAAAGTATTCTGAGAAAAATTTTTAGAGTGTGGCTCATTAGGCTAATTAATCGATATTCTGAGCATTTTCTCGCATTGTGTTTTTTAGATATTGCGATAAAGATGGATTTGAGCCAATCTGCGGGAATCACTCCGGTGTTATATATTGAATTAAAAAGTCTTACTACTACTTTTATGTTATTATTCTCTATTAGTTTCAGCAAATCAGTTGTTGTATCATCTAATCTTTCTAATGTGTATCTTTTCTAATTTTAGCATTATTTTTAGCATGTTCTGCTTCGCATTTCATAATTTCTGGGCCGTCAGTACAGTTTTGGTAGAATTCGGCAATATTATTCCTGTCATCTTCAAACAACGATATATACAACAAGTACAGAGGGAACTCGTTTTTTAAATATATGGCACACTACGCCCTCCTTATATAATATATCGCAGCGAACATATGTGGGATTCGTGAACATTAGGGGATCCACAGGGTTCTCCTTCTTCGAGTGGTGGATGTTGCGCAAGAGGAGCTAGATATAAATGAACAAAAAATGGGTGGATGGAGGTAACTTGTTTTACAGACTGGCTCGATACTATATCATTACCACACGATTAAAATTGGCTTGATCGATTAAAAAATGGGTTGATATTGATATTACTACAGTTTTTATACATCGGCTAAGCTATTTTAAAATGGGGTATTAAAGTGACCCCACCTGCAATGGGTGACTTTGCGAGTTGTTCTCATAAACGAAATTTTACGATCAAATGCGTTTTGGTAGTCAACGAAGTATATAATAATAGGTATTTGAAATTCTCTAGAATTTTCAATGAGTGTCTCAGATTTAGGATTTGTTCCTGTGTACCTTTACCCTTTACAAACCCGGCTTTTTCCTGAGGTATTTGGTAATGTAGATAGGTTTTTAATTTGTTTTTGATAATATGCATCACTTCGACTACGTTTTAATAAACAGAAGATTTCGTAACGCTATCAAAAGAATCGCAGCATATCCAGGTGCTGATATTGCATCCGATCATAATCCGCTAATAGCAGATGTGAGGTTAAAACTAGCAAAAATTAAGAGAACAAATACAAATACCAGCACACCTATAAATACAAGAGAACTGATGAGAGACGAAAATCTGAAGAAGAGTTATGCGAATCAAATTAATGAAAGAATGCGAGTAATAGAACAAAATTATGATATCGAAGAGATGGTCAATGATATTAAAGGAACGATTCTGGCAGTAAACAGGGAAGTTAAAACACAGATCAGAAAGATAAAGCATAACGAATGGATGACGGACGAAATTATGGATCTAATGGAAAAGCGAAGGCAACATAAACAACAACGTAATCAAGACAAATACAAACAGATACACAAAGAAATCCGTCAGAAAATTAAGAAAGCAAAAGAACGTTGGATGGTGGAAAGGTGCAACGAAATAGAACAATTGCAGGAAAAAGGAGATAGTTTTGGACTACATAAGAAGATCAAAGAAATATCGAATATACACAAAAGCCACCACAGAACAAGAATACGCAACGACAGAAACGAATACATAGAGTCAGAAGAAGAGATAGCAATGGCGTGGAAAGAATACGCAGAAAGCCTTTTTAATGACGAAAGACCAACACAACCAACGCGCAAACTTCCTTCCGAAAACTTATCAGGGCCATCAATAATGCGAAGTGAAATAGAATATGCAGTTAGAACCACAAAGATGCATAAAGCAACAGGTCCAGATGAAATTAATATAGAAGCAATAAAACTACTAGACGAGGAGAATATCGAAATCTTGGTAAGGCTGTTCAATAGAATTTATGATACTGGTTACATTCCGCGAGAATGGCTGCAGTCATCCTTTGTGATGATCCCAAAAACAGCTAATGCCACAAAATGCAATGAACACCGCTTAATCAGTTTAATGAGTCACTTGTTGAAACTCTTCCTTAGGATATTACACTCAAGAATGTACAAGATACTAGAAGAACTTAGCGGGTCAACACAATTCGGTTTTAAGGGAGGACTAGGAACAAGAGAGGCAATTTTATGTTTGAACACCTTAATACAAAACTGCTTAGATCAACGAAAAGATGTCTACCTCACCTTCATCGACTACGAGAAGGCATTTGACAATGTTAAACATGATATCATGATGGAACTACTACATAGGGCCAACATTGACCAGAAGGAGATCAGAATTATTCAGAATCTATACTGGAACCAAATGGCAAAGGTGAGGATTGATCAAGACCAATATACGGATGAATTTGAAATCCGGAAAGGTGTCCGCCAAGGCTGCATACTCTCTCCGATGCTTTTTAATTTATATGTTGAAAATATATTTGCGGAAGCATTAGAAGATACGGAATTAGGCATTAAGGTGAACGGCATACCAATTAGCAACCTACGCTATGCGGACGACACAGTGATTATAACTGATAATTTGGAAGATCAGCAGTTATTACTTGATAGGGTGAATAGCATAGGTAAAAAATATGGCCTCAAAATCAACATTTTGAAAACGAAATATATGGTCATTAGCAGAAACCCTCCAGAAAACCCGATATTATGCATAGGTGACAATCGTATAAATCGCGTGAAAACTTTTAAATACCTTGGCACCACAATCAATGACCAATCGGATCCACAACACGAGATAAAAACCCGAATACAAATGGCAAGACAAGCTTTTGTGAAATTCAGACCGCTCCTATGTAATCAACACCTAAACTTCGAAATACGCTACAGAATGGTCAAGTGCTACATATGGTCCATCTTGCTTTATGGCATGGAAACGTGGACTTTGAAAAAAACATCTATCAACAAACTTGAAGCATTTGAAATGTGGTCATTGAGAAGAATGATGCGCATACCTTGGGTGGATAGAGTTCGAAACGATGACGTCCTTAATAGAGCCGGCGTGGAAAGAGAACTCTTTGAATTAATTAAAAAACGCAAGATTGGTTACCTTGGGCACATATTGAGAGGAGCAAAATATGAAATACCACAGTTAATCCTACAAGGGAAGATCGAAGGTAGGAGAGGAGCCGGCCGCAAACAATTGTCCTGGTTAAGGAATATTAAAGAATGGACAGGAATACACAATACAGGTGAGCTGTGTCACGCCGCCAAGAACAGAATTCTAGTAATGAGATAGTCGCCTACGCACTTTGGTGTATGGCATGTTAAGAAGAAGAAGAATATGCATCAAGATTTTACTAGCACGTATCATCAGTGATATTTTGCGGTAGTTTTCATACACTATTGTATGAAAACTATCAAATGTATGTATCAAATAGCCATTTGATTGGTTACACCAATCAAATGGCTATTTTCTTAAATTCCAAACAGCGACACAGATAAAATGTATGATACGTAATCTTCAGTTACCTAGTAACTGTAGTATTTCACCTGGTATTGAATTAATGCTTGGGGATTTATTTCTCTTTAGCGATTTAATTGCATCTTTGACTTCAGCGAGTAAGGCAGTAGATATAAATATATGAATAATTTATAAATTTATTTACGTCACGATAAATTTTTAAATAAAAAAGAATATTTAATTGATTTGCGGTGATTTGCAGAACTCTCCGCAGTGACTCGCTATCTAAAACCTGGTAGTGGATAAAACGGTGGATAGTAGATAGCGGGTAGCTACCATTCGGAAAATTACGTTTGCCGCAATGCATTATTAAAACAGGAAAGGCAGAGAGTGTGCGAGTGGTCGAGTTTTCCGATGTCGTATCGCGTCCTAGGAACACCTTTTTGCCTTTAATTCCCTTTTTAGGCATTCCACAATCCGGAACACACGCATTCTGTGTTTTCTGTACCGTGCGTTTCACTAGAACATAGACGGAGGATATTGGTAACTTTTAAAATAATCGAAAAAATGGACTTAGATATTTTTGTAAAAGGTTAGAATTTTTTGTTGTTTCTGTTGGTCTCTGGTAGGACTAAGGAATAATTAAACAGACACATATTAGCCGACAAATATGAAGCAAAAATTTTTATTATACAAATTTACATTACATTTGTTACATATTTAAATATACAAGGTGATTCACATCAATTTAGAACTGCTGTTATTTTTTTTTGTTTCAGTGGAATAAACTGTAGTAATTGATCCTCCTAAGACCTGATGTTATCCGCAGTTATTAAGTTGTGCACAACAATATTAGAAGGAACACATGTATACATTAATAGATATTTCACCACCTTACCTTTACTTTACTTTACTATCAAAAGTTGCCACAGCAAAAATGACCAAAATATGGAAAGACTGTCAAATTTCAAGAGCGATAAAGATGAGATTGATCAACTGCTTAATATTCCCAATACTGACCTACGCATGTGAATCTTGAACTCTGAGACAATCGGAGAATAGAAAGATAGACGCCACTGAAATGTTCTGTTGGAGACGAATTTTACGAATTCCTTGGACACGTAGAACAAATAATTCAATTTTAAGATAGCTAAAAGTTAGCCAGCGACTCTCTAGTAAAGCCTATCTCAAACAATTAAAATATTTTGGGCATTTTATGAGAGCAAACACAGAAAACATGGAAAGACTCATAATACAAGGAAAGATAGAAGGCCGCAGATCACGAGGAAGATCCCCAACAAGATGGATAGATCAAATTACAGGAATATGCCAAAGACCTATGCATGAATTAAAAGAAATGACCAGAGACAGAGATCTCTGGAGACGGACAATACACGACATCACGTCGACCACTACACTCCCCCTGGGGGGTCAGGATTGAAGAGAGAGACCTTTACTTGAATACATGTTAAACAAAAATATTTTTTAAACGGCTTCAATAATGAGATCTAGAATACCCAAAGTAGTTCATGTAACAATAAATAAGATGATGCTTAGAAAAATGCTTAAAAAATTAACGTAGTCCAATAGTATGATATAAAATCAGTTATACTAGCGTTAACTGCGTGGAAAATAGAACCTTTAGATACATGAAAGCAATGGTCAAAAAATGATTTTCGATTTAATGAGGTACCTAGATAAAAAGTTTAGATATACATTGTTA